TGACCAATCAGAGCGCGCGCTTTACTTTGGTTATGTTGTAATGACCAATCAGAGCTTGCGCTTTACTTTGGTTATGTTATAATGACCAATCAGAGCGCGCGCTTTACTTTGGTTATGTTATAAACCCATTTTAATCCTTGCCCTCATTGATTCCTGCACCATTGTTGAAGCTGACTCGTGTGCTGTCTCGCGCAGAAGGAAACTGTCCTTACGGGCCTATTATTAAACAAAGTAGAAGAACAAAACTTTTTAGACCGCAAAAGATTAAAGCTGTATGATCGCATTTTTTTTTTTTTTTTAAAGTGAATCTGCCGATTTTTGGATTGTAGTCTGGAAGGTTTTAACTGAGTAATCCCTGAGAGTGGCAGGCTTGTAAATTCTCCCTACACCATCACCCTTGAATCAAATGTAAAGGTCATAAGAATAGTGGAAATAACTATACACCACACAGGTGAATTGTACTTTTCGCGCGAGCTGATTGGCTGGTTCGGAAGTGAAAAACAAGTACCATTCACCTCCCAGCAGGCGAGGAGACAAAATCGTGCGTCACCATTTTATTTTCGACCACTTTTGAAAGAAATGAACTAATATTTTTGTTATCTGTGTGGTATTTACTAAAAAAATTGTCACCAATTGAAGATGCTTCTGGTTGTCAAACAAAGTACCCTGGTCATTACCACAGGAAATGTAGAGAAATCAGTTTTTTTTTTTTTTTTTTTAAATCAGTTTAGATCGTGTGAATATTATCGTGAGGGTATAAAGGTTTAAGAAGTTGGTCAGTGTTTTTCTACTTTCAGCTATGATTTTTTTGCCCACACCGCGAGATCGTTGTAATGTTGAGTTTGGTAAAAATCTCCATCCTCTCTCCCTTGCTACAGTTCTAATACAGGCACTTGATTGCATAAATTGTGTCCTCCAGGTACATCCGCTCCCTGCAGCATTCAGTGTCTTGGGGAGCACTTGGAGGAAAATCCGGCTCTGCTTTTTTCAAGTCATTTGGTTTGTAACTGCCTCGATCGAAATTGAAAAAGGAAATCTACTCTTACAATTTTTTTGGTATGGTGTCGATAATTTTTCTGCTAACTGTCCATCCTTCAATTCTGCCTTATTTTTCTCAACACCTTCACAGATGACCGGTTTGTCATGAAGCAGATGTCAAGACAGGAGTTGCAATGTTTTCTGGAATTTGCACCTCATTATTTCCGCTACATCAACAAAGCTCTGGATGAACAGGTATGGTGAGAAGACGCACTGACACAATGTTTAGCATTTACCTGTACGGTGATCTGGGATCGAGTTCTAGACGAGGTTACTCAGTTATGTCCGTGGACCTCACAGTGCCTCTCTCTACTTAATAAACAATTACCGCCAAACTGTCAGGGAGGT